CTCCCACTGAGGGCACAGCAGGGTCCTGAGGAACCCTGAATCTGGCTTCTCTGCCCTTTTTAAAAATGGATGATGTTGTTCCCTCTGCTAGCCATATTTGTGAAGACACCCATAAATACTTGAGTGGCACCCAGCTGTAACATAGCTGGGAAGCTGTGAAAGTGCCAGAAGAGAGAAATTCCCTGAAATGTGCTATCCAAAATACTACAGTGTGCCTTAATGGTAATTTTTAGGTTGGCTATACCAGCTTGAGTGGTATGGCACAATTCTCATTACATGAAAATTGTTTTCTTTGGTGTTCTTTCTACCAATATTTTCATAAATGCTTTTCTGAATTTTTATGTCATTTTCCATCAAAAAGAACTCAAATTTAAAGCCTTTTTAAACCTGCATGGACTTGCTCACTAAACTTACCTTATTTGTTGCAATCAAGTCAGCAAGGTTTCTTGAGTTCTTACCTCATTTGAACTGTTACCTCCCTCCTTAGCTAAATGTTAACAATAAACCTGAGACAATTGCATGCACTTGAGTTAGTGTTGTAAGGGTTTAATTTATTTGCTAGTAATCTGGAGCCGTCTAAGAGATGGTTCAGCAAATTGGAACTCATGCTGGGATAGCAGGAGCAGGCTTTGCTTGAAGGGCTGCCACCTGTGAGATGGGCTCAGGTTGCCTGAGTTCACTTTCCTCCAGAGCTGGGAAGAGAGAAAAAGAAGAAAGTGGAAGTGTGAATTGTTGACAGAGGAAGGTCATCAGAATATATTTGACTAAACCCTTGTCTGTGCAAGAAAATAAAATCTAAAACAGTTGAAGATTGTATAAATGAAGGTGGAAAAATACATGTTTCCTGTTCCTGGCTGCTTTTCTCTGTTCTGACTTTCTCTGTTTGTATCTTTGTTCTTTCCTCCTATGTGGTGCTGGTGCAGCATGTCAGGAAAACCTGACACGCTCTGTCTGGACTGGCTGGTGCCATCTCTGCAGATACGTGGCAGCTCTAAGAGAAACATTCTTATCTGTTGCTCATCTCTGAAGGCATATCAGGCAGCCATTGCTGTGGCTTGTTAATATCTCATTCTCTTGCTAGCAAGATTAAAAGAAAGCTGCTAACACCTCTGAAGTTTCTTGCCTGGGACAACCCAGCCTCGTCATTTGTGGCCAGGAATGCAAGTACTGGTTTTCTTAGAATACTAGAGGGAAATTTTGCTTTCTTTGTCTAGTGCAAGACAGGGTTGGTAATAGGAAAACCTGGAAAAGAAGCCAAAAAAATTCTGCTCTGGCCTCATTATAATGAACAATAGGAGATAGTATCTCACATTTTCCTATTCTAAGCTAAGTCTGGCTAAATTTGATGTTGTTGTTTTTTTTTTTAATGCACAGGCTGAGATTCAGTTAAGTTGCATCTTTCAGATCCACTGTCAAAGCCTTGAAAATAAGTTGCCATTTAGTTTAAAAGTCATTATAATATATTTTTAAATAAGACATGTAAAAAATTCTGACCCTGCTGTAACCTGTTAATCTGTAATACATTGTCAGACAAAAGGGTGGTTTGTTTCTGTCTTCATCCGTTCCAGTTTCTTTGTCTCCACCACCTGTCGTATAGTTAGTAGCTAAGGAAGCTTTCACAAGTGAGGCTGAGAAGGAGCTGTATGTGACTCCTCATAAGGAGGAAGGGCCTAGGGTGGGGTGGCATTGCAAGCTAGAGATGTGCTTTTATTGAATGCTTTGAAATAGACCAGGTAATTACTGTGTCCATAACACACCTAATCCCCCCCTACCTAGAAGGGGTCTGACCTGCTGTGGAGGAGTGGAGGAGGGTCAAGGAAGGACTCATCTGTAAAGAGCAAAGCATCTTGTGAGAGAAGTAGCGCTATTTTGATAGATCCTAAGATGTAAGCCCTGAGATCTTGATGAAGGGCCATAGTGGTCCTTAAGATGGTTGCCCTCAGGGTGCTTTCCCACACCCACTCATGAGGGCCTCTCCTGTGATGTAGTGATGAGTAGTGACACCAGCCTTACAATTTTTGGAGGGGATTTATTATCTTTTAATTTTCTGTAATTGACTGGTGGATTTGGACAACAGGGCTCGTAGCAGACTATTGGTGTTCACCTCACCAAGACAATGTAGCTAAACTTTTTAGTAAACTTTTTTTTATAGGAACAGTATGTCATCTCTGTGTGTGTAGGTTGTTTCTAACCCCTTCTTAGCAGTTGATGGTTCAAAAACTTCACCTAAATCTTCTCGTTTAACCTGACCCTTAAAGTCATGTTTTAGAAGTTGTTTTTCTTTCATGGCAAAGGACGCCACGCGTGCTCCAGCCAAGACAGTGGGAAGCTCCACATAGCCAAGGACCTCTAGCCAGCCTCATTCCCTATAAACAGGGCTGTAGTATAATTGTATTTATGAATTCCTGATTACGGCAAATTAAACATAGTTATGAGAGCTGGAGGTAAACACACAGGTTGATGTGAAACTGGTGTTGAGCTGTGGCAGCCTGCAGTAACAGGAGGGAACCAGAACTGGTTGGTTGTTGGTACTCAGGGAATGTGCCTGAGGCTGGCCAGGCTGTGGATGGTGAGTCGTGGTTTGGCTGCTGTTGTTTCTTGTAATGGCAAATGCTGCTCTTGGGTGAGAGAACATCTGAAATATCAGCTGTGCCTGGCAGCAGAGCTTCAGCCTCCATTTATTTGGAGCTGACTGAAATACCTTCAGAGCTCAGTTGTCCAAGATCCCTGGAGGTGGGCAAGGGCTCAAAAAGGCTGCTCATGTGCCATGCAAAATTGAGGGAGGAGGATGCTGGTGGTGCAAAGCAGAGCCATGAGAGGGCTGTCCAGTCTTTGGGTTCTACTTTTTGTCCACTGTCAGCAAGTGCATGTGCATCCAATCCAACGTTGTCATAGTGCCAGTGTACCTGAAGGAATTGTGCATAGATCCTGTAAACTCCTCAGTGGGAAGTCTGCTAGGCTGTCCTTGCCAATAGCACTGTGACAATTCACATTATCAGAATGTGATTTGACCTACTATAGGCATGGCTGTCAGACAGCATACTGTGGACTTCTGATGTGGTCGAATGTATTTATTGGTACTACAGAGTGATCACTTTCTCAGCTGCCTGCCAGTTCTGGTCAGTCACAAGCTCACTGCTCGCTTTGGTGTCATCCTGCTCCTGGGCTCAGTGGCCTTTGCAGTTCTTCTCCTGTCTCCCCTCAGCATAACAAGAATGATCAGCTGTGATGTTTAACAAGGGTGTGAGACAAAGCTGGCTAAAGCTGATGGGGAACTAACTGTGAAGGTATATGTAACAAGTCAGACTGCTTGATCCTGCTGGTTATCACCTGATCTGATCCAGGAGTTGGTGGGAGGAGGATCCTCCTCATGGGCAAGGTCCTGTCATCTTCCTGACGGAATAAATGGCTTGTTCCTTCCTTGTGACTTTCCCTGGTGGTTGTGCTCATCTCCATCCTTCTGCTGTGGGTTTTTGTGGTGTGCAGACAAGCTTCTGCTAAGGCAATGGGACATGAATAAGTCAAGCTAGCAGGGGGCGGATGAAGGAAGGGAAGGGCTGCCAAAAGCATTCTCCTCTGAGAAGTCCTTCTTTTGGGCCATGGCTCTTGATTTTTGGGTTAAGGGTTTTCTTGTGTGGACAGTTTCATCCTGGCCCTAAATTAGCAACACCTACTGATTGATGCTTGTTTTTTGGTTTGTGGTTTTTTGGGTTTGATTTTTTTTTTTTTTTTTTTTTTTTCCCTTTTCAATTTGTAGAAGGTGCTGGAACTCTGCCATGGCCAGGTGGCTCTGCAACTAAACCTGGAAAACCCAAAGGAAAGAAAAAGATATCTTCTGTTCGACAAAAGTTTGATGTAAGTGTCCGTGATCAAATGGTCGTGGCTCTCTGACATTCTTTCAGGGATGAAGAACTCTGCACATGCATGTAGCTTTTCTTGCTACCAGGGGTGATGGAAGCCCAACATGTGCAGTGATGTATGTCATATTTGTTTTGAGTTCTGGATTGGAGCCAGAGCTGGAGGGTTAGTGACTGCTGCCTCTCTCGTGGAAGCCTCTGGGATAAAAGCTACAGTGTGACCTGTCTTTGTTAGATACCAGAGAATCCATGGAAGGCCACCTAAATGTCAAAGTTGCAAAAGCTTGTATTCCAGGAACCAGGCAAGGAGTAACTTCAGCTCTATGGTCACTGCAGTTACGCTTGGGCAGGTCTTTCATAGTTTCATTCACCTCTTGCGTTCTCTGTAATATCTTGTTCACTTCATACATCTACCAGATACTTGAAGCAAAAGGGATTTCCTATTTATTCGGGAGTCAGGCAGAACTTGGTTATTGTGTGATCTGCTCTACAGGACTCTGCAATCCAAAATGTTAGAAGTAAGGTGTTCGTTGGGTGGAATGTTTTTGGAGGGTCAAGTTGTTTCAGAACACGTTTCACAAAGATGCTGTCTTCTGGTAGGTGGCAGATAAACATGCAAGATCCAGTTCAAGGCTCTGTACATCCATCTAGTACTGTCTGTGTTTGTTCTACAGTTGTTTTGGCACTGCCAGACCAGTGTGGAGGGGGCCTGGAGTGAAAGAGGATTGGGATGGGGCACTGTCTTTGACAAGGTGGGGTTTGATGAGGCAGTCTGAGCACATCATGGGGGCCTACAAGAAATCTGGAGATTTTTACAAGGGCATGTAGTGACAGGACAAGGGGAAATGGCTTTAAACTGACAGAGGGGAGATTTAGATTAGACGTTAGGAAAAATTCTTCACTGTGAGAGTGGTGAGACATGGAACAGGTTGTTTAGAGAAGCTGTGGACAGCTTCTGACACGGCAGAAAACTAACCACACAAAAAAAGACCACAAACCCCAAGTTTTTCTTGCTGGTTTATTCAGCTGGATCAGTGTTCCTTGTGGTTGAATGAATGCCAAAGGCAGTGAAAAGGAAGAAGGGGCTGGGGGTAGGGGAGAAAGGGCGTGTGAAACCTCCTGGTCTTAGGCTATAAGGGGTTAGCTTGGCTCAGCTGAAGTGCATACTGCACTTCTGGGGACTATAATTAGGCACCATGTGTGTGCTTCAGTGACTGGTGTTTGAGGGATGTGTCCAACTGAAGGCTTGTTGTATTTGGAAACTGCTGAAATATTCTGCAGCGTTCACAGCTGAGACCTATATTCTGATGGCAGCCTGTCATCTTTTTGTTTCAAAACTTCACTGTAACTTTTCAGTAGCAAGTGGAGGAGAGGCTGAGGAACAAGTTGTGATGTAGTGAAAGCCTTGGAATTTGGTTTACTCAGATCCCCCTGTGTGTGTTTATACACATATTCCTGGAATGCTTGGTAGTAAGTACTGTATGAAGTGTATGTTGTGATTAATGGGTTTGTCTACTGCTAGTGGAATTCCTGAGCAGTACGAACTTGAAGTGCCTTGATATTTTGTGATGTTTCCCTCATTGGTCAGAGTAACAGCTGTGAATGACCACAGGTTCATTCCAGTTGGCTTCTGCTCTGCCAAACCACATTCTCCTTAAGAGTTGCTTACATTTTGCAGGTCTTTTTTTCCAGGCATACAGATATGTGGCTTTCCTGTAATGAAAGCATAAGTGTTCAGAATTACAGGGAGGGAAACCTGCTTTCACATAACTGGTGGGTGGATTGGTTTTTCACTCTTCAGTTAAATGCCGCACTGTCGTTTGAATAAAGCAGCCACTCTTCTTCTCCTGAAACCAAGATGTGAGAGATCCACTTTGCTGTATATTCATTGTTTATATTTAAAGAATGTGTTTGTCTTGATGCCCCGTGAGAACCTCGCAGCAATCTTCATTCCAGAGCCACCAGATTTGTGGCTTGGATGCTTGTGGGAGTACTTGATCAGCTTGTTCCCTTCTGGGCTGGGGCTGGGGCAAGCACATGTCTGGGCTCAAGGATCAGTTGTTCTCATCTGATTTTTTCCCTGCTTTACCTGGGACCTCAGGCTTCCTACAGGCCACCACAAGCACTTGGAGCTTGAGACACCAGCTCTGCAAGGGCATTGTGCTGGAATATATGGCCTGGAAAATGGGGGTTGCCATCTTGTGGTATGACTTCCTCTTCTATGATGCCTGTTTTTCCCTAAATAACTGAGGCAGTTCTGAAAAGTAGTCATAATTCATCTTGGAATCAGTGGCTGCTCAGTAACACAGCTCTGCTTGGAGTATTGTAAGTGCATGGGAGACTAGACTATGAAATTCAAACTTGGAATTTGGCTAAGTTGTTCCAATTAAAGCTTTAAATAAATGAGAATCAATCACACAAGCTTAGGATGATGGGTTTTAATCTTGATGGAAACTGTATAGTTAGTAAGTAAAACCAACCCTTCTCTACAATAAATAGCTAAATAGACAAGAACCCTTCAGCATAGGAGGAGGTGACTGAGAAATGTGAAAGTCCATAAAATTAGCACTAGCATTTGAGACTTAAAGGAGAATCAAATCAATCTAGCAGGTGGGGGAGGGACCGAGCAAACCAGAGAAAGTGACTCTTCATGTGGCGTGCTGTTACACAGTAGAATTTCTTGCTGCAGGCTGTTGTGGATACTTAAAGTTTGGGTGGTTCAGGGTGCTGCTGGACAAGTTCATGGGTTGCTTAATAAAAGGACACCAACTCTGGCTCAGAAATTTCTTCAGTCACAAATCACTGGGGGTTGGGAGAGTATCCTGGGGAAGAATATCACTCTGCTTGTCCTACTGTGATACGCTTTTACAGGTGTTTGCTTTCCAACTGGAGAAGGGACGTTTAGCTTGATGAAACAAAGAGTCTCACTGGGTATTTATCTTCTGATCTAATGTTGTATTCATAACAGCACCGGTTCCAGCCTCAGAATCCGCTGTCTGGAGCCCAGCAATTTGTGGCAAAGGATCCTCAGGAAGATGATGATTTGAAGCTGTGTTCTCATACCATGATGCTTCCTACACGTGGCCAGTTAGAAGGAAGGATGATCGTAACAGCATATGAGCATGGGCTAGACAATGTTACAGAGGAGGCAGTGACAGCAGTTGTTTATGCTGTAGAGGTGAGACTGGGCTGGGCAGCAGTGGTGTTCTCATGCCAGCAATAAAAGGCTCTGTGTGCAGTATGGGGTAGAGCCCTTCAGTGTGGGGAGGAAACCTGTTTCTCTAACTGCCAGTTTGCCTTGGGAAGAGTAATGTGGGACTCAAAGGTCTTTCCAGACTTATGGCATTGTAGATGTAAAGTCTTGGATTTCTGCCTGCAAGTGTTAAATTTTTAAGTGCTTTCATATGAGGAACTCTGGGCATGCTTAAATAGCTGTTTTGGAAATGCCGTTCATGTCAGTTAAAAGCAGGGATAAAATGGGAGCACCAGTTTAAACACTTCTATAAAAAAAAAATCAAAACCTCCGTTACAGGCGCAAGTGTCTGGCATGGAAGTGAAGCACCAGATTGGGTAATACCTACAGGTGAAGCGCCTGCTCTTGCTGGTTTTGGCTGTCAGTGGTGCATTACCTGACGTACCTGAGGAGTGACACAGCTGTTACTTGAAGCGTTGATGTGTGGATGGTTTTCTGGAGTCAGGATGTGGAGGCCAACCTGAATTCCCCATCTGGGACTGAGGCCAGATTAAGAAGCAGTTGCCTTCTTGTTTTCTCAGATGGTTGCTTCTCCAACGCTTTCCAGGCAACTGAACAGTCTGAAAATGAGCAGTGAGTGGCTTTTTGCTATAGTTTTAGGGCCAGTATTTCAGTACAAATGTGACATCTACTGCCAGTGATGAAATCTCTTAACTCTTTATCAAAGGGGTCAGAGGTTGGGAATTTCCTAGCATTTAAGAAACCTCTTTGACATTTAAAGCAGTGCATCATGTATGAAAGTACAGTTCACAGGCTAATGCCTACAGTACTTGCACAGTGCCATGTTCTCTGTATCCAACTCTATCAGTCAAAACATACTGTAAATTGTCCAGATGCTGTTTCCAGATCTTTAGGTCCTTGTGGTCATAGCAGTACTACTTCTGTCTTGCCAATTGGTGAGGCACTTCTCATAGCCGTGGCTTGGTAGAGTAAATAAATCAGCCTGTGTAATAAGATTGTTTTTCACTGCAGAACCATCTTAAGGATATTCTGACATCTGTGATATCCCGGCGGAAAGCTTATCGTCTGAGAGATGGCCATTTCAAATATGCCTTTGGAAGCAATGTTAACCCTCAGCCATATCTGAAGAACAGTGTTGTTGCTTATAACAATTTAATTGAGTGGTAAGGAGCTCTCAGCACCCTGTTAATTTCACGTGCAAGTTGCTCGTCCTGAAGTTACTCCATGGTTCAGTTTCTATTTTTACTTAGTGGAATCTGTTAATAATGGTGTTTAGCTTTCACACTAGGAAGATATCAGTATGGAGGACTGTAAGGCTAAACAGGGAGGGGGAATATGGGGATTTCTCAGGAGTGGAGTTTAGGACAATTTTAAGTCCCTCTTTCTCACTTGTGCTTGTGCATCAATTTGTGAAGGTGACCCCTGGTCCTCTGAATGTCCTTATTAATTATTGCTTTTTTGGAAACTGTAGTAAGTGAGACGGGAATTCTGCTGTTCTCAGGGAAACTTCCCATGGGCAGAAGATGTCCCATGCCTTTGTGGGGCATTGTTGCTGTGCCATAGGAGTGGAATGTTGGTGAGAGCAGTGTCCTGCGGGTCATCCTGTTGTTTCCTGAATCCAAATGTATTTATGGCTCCTTGGCATGCCTTTCCAGTTAGCAGAGCTTCAAGGTTATCTTGTTTTCCAGAGTCTCAATGTCAAACAGCTTGTGCTGTGCATCTGGCAACGTGTGTGTATGAGGCAGTTGTGTTTGTGGCAGCTTCTAGGAGTTGACAGGAGGTCGTGGGTGTTTTTAAGATTTGATTGTAGCACTACAAGACAATCCACTCCAAACAACCCTGCTTAACGGCTTGTGTCTTTCAGTTTTATGTTGCGAGTGCCTTGATTCTTATGCTGAGTAGAAGCAATTGGCTGTAAATAACAAGTTGCACAATCGAGATCAGTTAAGCAGGCTTTGAAGCATGTTGAGGATGAGTTTGTGCTATTTTTTTTTTAAAAAACTGGAATTTTTAAGATATTTTTAATTACAGCTGAAATAATTTTGTGTACATAAGGGCTAAGTCAACTGATAGGGCAAAGCAAGCCTGGGGCCAAGCTGCTGCTGTGTGACTTCCAAAGCTGGTGCTGTTGTCTTGACTGGAAGGTTTTACTGTTTGCTCTGTCTACAGCCCTCCAACCTGTGCGACGCCTTCTGCTGGTCAGAGTCTAGCTCCACAGCCCCTGCCCGATGATGCTGAGCAGCAGGCAGCACTACTCCTGGCATGCTCTGGAGACACCTTACCAGCATCCCTCCCACCAGTGAACATGTATGACCTTTTTGAGGCATTGCAGGTAATCTGTTCATGTTACACATATAGCAGCAAAGTGACTTAGCCTGGCATGTCTGTTCTTACTTCTCTTGTTCCACCTGGGTACTTAAAGGAATATTTGGTCCTGGCATGCAGGCTTCTGCAGTGGGTTACCTGTGATCACCCCAGCACTGGGGAGATGTCTAAGCAAAATGATTATTTTCTTACTGTGCCACTCCCTTACAAAATGGCATAACAGGTGTTTGCTCTCTGCTGACTGGGATGGCAGTGCTGGCAAGTTGCAGTTCTCCTTGTGTGTGACAACCTGTTGGGCTTATCCACAGTGGGGAGGTTATTCCATGGGCAATGTGGGGAAATGTGTATGAAAACATGAAATTTGTTTTCTAATGTGTATGTCCAGGTGCACAAAGAAGTTATTCCTGCGCACACTGTCTATGCTCTAAACATTGAGAGAATTGTCATGAAACTCTGGCATCCAAACCATGAGGAGCTGCAACAGGATAAAATCCATCGTGAGCGCCTGGCAGCAAGGGAGGGCCTTCTGCTCTGCTAGAGCTAGGAGCCATGTCAGGCCCCAGATGGCTACAGTGCTGTTCCTTGGACTTGACACTTGGATGCTTCTTACAAACCTCTGTCAGCATTTCAAGGATGTTGTAAGTTATGGGTCAGCTTTTCCTATGGAAATATGACTGAGTTGCAGTACACTTTCTCTGCTTCCCCAGAGTCAGGTGTCATGGAGTGCTTGCAGCAATTCCACTGAATTGGGAAGGAGAAACAAAAGATTTGTTTGCAAAGACTGGTTTGGATTTTCTCATTTGCTTTTTTTGTGGGGGGTGTGTTTTTTATTTTTTTTAATAAATGTGAGGGTGGAAAGAGTTGGTTTTTAAAAAAGGTGTATTTGTGTAATTTTTTGTGAGCATGGAGAATCTGCCTCCTCATCTTCGCCTCTTGGGTAGTTTCCTTTCTGAGCTCAGGCTCCAGGGGCCTTGTCCAACTTTTGCAGTTGGTGGGATCCTCTTCCACTCATTTAACTGGAATGGTGGGCTCTTCTGAAGATGAGCAATTCTGTAAGGTGACATTGTTCCTCTTCTGCCAGGGAAACTTTAAGAAACTCTGAGAAAACAGGCTAAAAAGGGAAAGGTCCTTCCTAGGCTGTCATTTGAACTGTTTTGCATCACAAAACTTGAATGTGCATGCTGTCATAGGAATCTCTCGCCAGTTACCAAAATGCACAATAAAATCAGGTTGTGAGTAGTGTTTTCCTATCAGCCTTGTCTTTCACTCACCTCTGTCTGGCAGTAGTGGTGATCAGATGCTCTAGGAGTTGTTGGACCTATGGTAAGAGGCAACCTCTGTGTCTGTCAGTATAGCTAATGGTTTAGCCCTCACAGCAGGCAGCTTGACCATCCCTGAGGTGGGACAGCAACCCCTGAATACATATACCAGTGCACTGTCAGCATTGCAGGCTCCTTGGATTTTTAACCTAAGCAAGATGTTTCATTTACTTCATCAGAAAAATATGCAGCCACACCTCTCCACATGGGAGGATGCATATCACTGTGTGCGAAAGGAGAAATTTCACCTGCTGTGCTTTTATAACATGAGAATTCCATTTAAATGTTTTAGTTAATATATTACCTGTTTTTAACTACATGTATGGAGATACCTGCTGAAGGATGACTTGGCTTATTGTGCCACCAGATAGTGGAATTGAAACAGTTTCCTCTGGGGAGGGATATGAAAGGGGGAGTTCATTGTCCCACTCTATTCTAGTGTTCCTGTTTGGGAAGTATTTGGATAGGAGATCCTTCCCTTCTCTTGCAGTTTCTTTAGCTGCTGTGCCCCCAGGACGAAAGAGGGTGCAGGTTCCTGATGTTTCCTCCCAATTGTGTTTTTAATAACATCTGTTCTTGACCCCTGTGGCTGTTCATATTGGACCAGAGTTGTAGCAAGGCGCTGTGCAGCTGTCTCTGTGTTTCTGGCTTTCCTGCAACACCTTGTGGGATGTGCTGTGGAGTTGGGCATGGCAAGAGAGGGTGCCCCTGCAGATATTGGTGTCTCTCGTCATGAGAAGACCATTACAAAGAAACTGGGAAAGGCAACAGCAGAGACCTACAGCAGGTCTGGCAGGATGAGAGCAGTTGTACTTGGTAGGTCATGTCTCTTAAAGTATAGCAGTGTGCTTATGAGAGGAGTGGGAGAGAGGAGATGGAAGATTTCTTCTGGTTCCTTTCTTTCAACTGCCATTTTTTCTGTATTTAAGCATACATTTCTGTTCTGAGTGAGCCTTAGCTTAAAAGTTGACCCCAGTGTCTTTTACTTGACAGTTTTTAAAAGCAACATTGAACCTGAGTAACTCTGTGAGATCATCAAGTCACCTAAAGCATGGACTCTGGGGTGTGGGAGGGGGATTTCCCTGATAACTGTTATGTTTCTGGTGTAAAATGAAAGCATTAAGTTTGTTTGCTAGAAACTTTGGGGCAGCTCTAAGGATTTCAGATCTGAAGAAAGCACACAGCCTCCAAACAGCATCACAAGCGAGTTCTGAAACAAAACACTAAGCATGGCACAAGAAGTGCCTCCCTCCTGTGTTTGCATGTGCTGGGAGAAGGCTCTGCAGACGGAGCCTCTTGTTCTGAAGAGCTGAGTCATCTATTCCACACATAATATGTGGGTTATTTGGTACACCTGCTAGACAACAAAGGCTGGAATAAGGAAATCCTGTCAGTTCCATTTCAGAAATCAGAAAACTGAAAGGTACATGTTCTCAATGCATTTTCCCACAAAGAGAGAGGTCTTGTGGGAAGTGGTGCTTCTGGGGCAACTTTGCTGGAAGGGATGTCTGGAGGCTGCTTTATCCACTCCCTGCTGAAAGAAGGGCTAAGTTCAAAGATGGAGCAGGTTGACTGTCTTTAGAGATGAGACCAGAGAAATGATGGGATTTACTATTACTATTACGACCATGCTGATAATGAAGGTTTTTCCTTGCATCTCATCTGGATTTCTCATGTTGTGCCTGTTGCCTTTCAGCTTTTCCTGTGTGTCTGTGTGGCTCTCCATCAGTGATAGCAGATAACAGGAAGTTCTCTCTTTGCCTGCTCTCCAGGCTGAACAAACCTGGCACTCTCGGCTTTTCCTTATATGTTGTGTGCTGCAGCCCATCTTGATAGCCTCCACTGAAGTTGCTCTGGTGTGTCATTGTCCTTGTGCTGTTGATCCCAGATTGGATCCAGCTCTCCAGATGGCCCCATGAGTGCTGAGCAGAGATGAGGATCCCTGTCCTTGCCCTGCTGGCTGAGCTCCTGCTAGTGGTTGGCCCTTGCTGCACAGGTGCACTGAGGAATCCTGGGTTGCTTGTTCACCCACACTTCCATGTCCTTTCCTGCAAAGCTGCTTTCTTGCCCATTGTCTCCAGCCTGTTCTGCCACAGGAGGTTACTCCATCACAGTGGCCAGGCTGTGTATTTGTCATTGAACTTCTTGAGGTTCCTTTCAGCCTCTTCTCCAGCCTATGTCCCTCTGAGTAACAGCTCTGCCCTTCTCTGTATGAAACCACTTTTCCCAATTTGGTGCCTATATGCTCCTTCCTGTCATCAGATCAGTAGCAAACATAGCATAAGAAGCCCCAGTGTTGACTTCTGAGTGTTGGTCCCAGTATTGAGTGCCACTAATAACCAGCAGCCAGCTGGAGTCCTAATTGCTGACCACTGCTGTTGGAGGCCTGCCCTGAAAGCAGGGTGATAGTACTGGTATGTATCACTGTTAGGCTGATGGCTTTCACTGTGACATGACGTATGTCAGCACTACAGTAATCAGCCCTCTAAAATGAGTAAGATTATTGAACTTAAAAGCAGTAGCTCAAAGTAGCACTGAAATTAGTTTGGAAGTGTTTGTCTTCTGCCCCAGGATCCACTGAGAACCTGCCAGTTTTATGGCAAGCTGGGCTTGACCAAAACTGTTCTGCCAAAAAACTTATAATGAAGGCTTTTCAGGGTTATCTTAGGCAACCTGCAGTGCTGTGTAGTGGCCTTCACAACTGAAGGGTTTTTCTGCAGTCCTCTGCCTGTTACTGCAGTTTAGCTCTAGAACTTGTGTTCACCCCAGAGTATTGTATGCAAAGACAGAAGGGAAGGAATGTGATATTATCTGTCACATTATCAGTAGTGAGAATTGTATCCTATGTTCTTAATGCAGTAGGAACTGTGCAATGTACTGAAAGTAGCTACTTGGGAGCTTCTAGTGCTTCTAGCATCCACTTCTAGATTTGCAGTGGAAAACCATTAGCCACCACAGAAAGAGGGGGAGTGGGAAAAGTGAGTGAGAGCTTCACCAGACTCACTTCATGGCCTGAGTTTGGGTGAAGATGACCATCTGATCTCAAGGTGTGATCAATGCCTCTTGAGAGTGTAGGATGACAGAAAGAAAATCTCTTAATTTTTCAGACAGTTCCAGCTGCCAGACTGGTGACCAGGAAAGCTGTTTCTCATCGCTAGTTCACAGCAGAAACCTGAAGCATAGCACTTCCTGTCAGATATGCACTGTACTGCTTTTTTCTTAGCTTAACTGCTAATCTATTCCATCCCAGCCTTACCACTCTTTCTTCTGCAGCTGAGGTGGATGTTTTTGGTTGTTGCCCCAGTTCTTCCTTGTAGCAGAAATCCCCATGTTGTAGAAAGCTTGGGTATGGCTTGATGCAAAGAGTGACTCTGAGGGCCAGAAACTGTGTTCCAGCAGTGCCTAAAAACATGGACTCTGGTGAGTTTGTGCCACCTTCCTCCTACATGACCTTAAGGAAACTTCTGGCAAAGAGAGAAAAATGAGGAAATGAGACTCCTGAACCACACTTGTGTCCTTAACCATGAATGACCAAGAGCCCCAAATAGGGATGGCAGAAACGCTCTGCTCTGCAGCCAAATGAAAACAATACCAAGAAAGAAGACCACCTTTTGTGCTGCTGGGGTGGAAGGGAGCATGTGACTTGTTGCTGCAGTCCAATGTCATAAAAGAAGAAATTCTCCCCAGTCCTGAGAAGGCAGCTGCAGAGAGGGGTGGTGGTGGTGGCTGGTCCCTGTCAGGGACTTGTAGGTGATCATGGGTATTTCCTGCTGGCCTGAACTTATGTGCAGAAGGGTTTGCAGCAGTACTGTAGGAGTAGCACAATGTCAGCAGCTCCTCTCCCAGTGAGAGGCACAGCTCCTGCTGCTAGAGGAGGACTTCAGCAGGCTCCTAGAAGGAAACAAGTTCTTAGAGCTGAAAGGTTTGCTTGTGGTGTTGCCTTTCTTCACCAGTGTGGCTACTGGTGTGGTCTAGTTGGCAGAAGAGGAAGAATTCACCAGCCTGCCTCACAGTTACTGCAGGACAAAAACTTAATATTGTAGCTGTGGCCTAGGGCAGGCTGGGAAGCAGGCTATGTCAGGCAAGTGCACACTTTTTGTCCCCAAGGTCAGTGTGTGCCAAAACTTGAGGCAAGCCAAGATCTGTGTGCTCTGGACACTGTGGGCTGTAGGGCCTGTAATGGGCTTGGCACCCCTTGAGCTTGCTTGAAGAGCAGCAGAGTTAACAAAGAGTGCAAAGTCGGGGCACAGGCACTAGTGTCTCTCTTCCTTGGTTGTACAGAGACCTTAGTTCATGCTCAGATGAGGAGACCTCAGCTGCTTCCAAGATGTTGCATCTTCTGAGGAGCCCTGTTAAGTGTCCTGGGCATCCCCATGCAGAGGCAGCTCTGGCTGGGGTTGTGTAGCAATGATGGGAACACAGAGCTGATTTCTTCAGGGTCAAGCACAGGGGGCTGGCCAGCACT